CATGTTTCTCCAACTATCCTTCAACCTTATCAGTGAAGGAGATGCTATTAAATTTTAAGCTAGATAAAAGATTAGGAAGAAAAGTAGGGAGAGAGGTTAGGTGGGTGTAAAAGTAGAGTCCCGCTTATCCAACCTGTACTCATCCAGTGTTCTGTATTATCCAACGCAGTCTGCCTCCCACCTGGAATAATGACCAGGGTGTGAGAAAGAAAGAACCCTTTGTTTTCATGCTAAATTCATAAATACAGTAATTACTACATAACGTTACTGTGTACTGACCTGCCTTTTTTTTCAATTTGTTGTAAAACATTGTGTTTTAGTGCTTAATTTGTAAAATCATAATGTAATTTAATGTTTAATAGGCTTTTCCTTAATCCCTCCTTATTATCCAGCATTTTTGCTTATTCTGCTGGCCCGTTTATGTTGGACAAGGGAGATTCTACTGTACATTGTAAAAGGGAGCTTCTGTTTCAGAGGCTTAGTTAACTGAGAGATGTCTGCATTTGTAAGACATAATTGTTCAGACATCCTTAGGGTAAAGGTAGTCCCCTGACATTAAGTCCAGTCATGTCTGACTCTGGGGTGTGGTGCTCATCTCCATTTCTAAGCCAAAGAGCCAGCGTTGTCCGTAGACACCTCCAAGGTCATGTGGCCGGCATGACTGCATGGAGCACCTTATATGGGGAAAAAATAGAGAAGGCTTTTTTTCCTGACTGCATTGGAGCCCCCGGTGGCGCAATGGGTTAAACCCTTGTGTCCTCAGGACTGCGGATCAAAAGGTTGGCAGTTCAAATCTGGGGTGTAGAATGAGCTTCCATCTGTCAGCTCCAGCATCTCATATAGGGACATGAGAGAAGTCTCTCCCAGGATGGTAAAACATCCGGGCGTCCCCTGGGCAATGTCCTTGCAGACAGTCAATTCTCTCACACCAGAAGCAACTTGCAGTTTCTCAAGTCACTCCAGACAAAAAAAAATCTGACCATCTTAACTTCACTCAGACACCTGTGACATCCTCCCTTCACTTCTGCATATTTTCCTAAATGCAACTAACAATATTACTCTATTTTTTTTAAAAAAAAGTGACAGTTGCAGATTAAGAGCTTGTTAACAAAATAAATAAAAAGCGACGTGCTTCTTATGCATTACTTGAAAAGAATTAGAGGATACTTTTCTCTCTCTTATTTCCTTATAGAATAAACCTGATTGCCAACATTCATTACAGGGAGTACATAATATTCTTTCTTAATAAAAGAAAAACTTGGGGGTTTTTTCACTTCAAAAGCAGATAATTCACACATTTCAAGTAATATTTTCACAGTCACCAGATTTTCCTCACAGCTTCTCCAAAGATTTTGTGGCACCAACATTATGCATGTTCTTATAACAAAAATCAAGCCACATACCATCAATTAACTGGGGAATGCTAGGTGATGAATAGGCATAATAAAATGCACCTCCAAGCATCCTTTGTTCCTAACCATTTCTACTTATGCTATCTCACCTGTAGACTTGCACCTAGCTATTCTTTTTGGAGGCAAATGTGAAATGTTTTCCAAAACTCTTACAAACAATACCAAACAATCCACCCCCTCTAAAATCAAATAGAATTTTTCAACAAAAACAAACTTATTTTGATCCAAATGTATTATGTGTATAGATTGGTTAAAAACATGTAACAGCAACAGGATGTAAACATTTCCTTAATGATCGTATGGTTTAGAGCAAGCAAAGCAAACAACAAAATGAAAGCATTTACCTCCTCCTGGTGGGATTTAGCATTTGCTTTATAACTGCAAGAATGAGCCATTCAGTTAGACAAGGCATAGTCCCTAAAGCCTCACAGAGCTGTGTTCAATTAAAGCAGTCCTGGTGTTGTTGTAAGTAAATGTTACCACACAGGAGGCCTGTTCATTGCATCATGCAATCCAAGGAAACAGTGCGTTTTTTAATGGTGCAAACAGAAAAATATTCAAACAGATTCCTTTGAGAATCTGGAATAGCAGACATGCCTTTGTCTTACTCTGTTCATTCAAATGATCATTTTACTAACTTTGGTTATAACACCACCCACATTTTGTTGCAAAAGAAAAAAAACTGCTCAAAGAAAAGGAATATTGTATATACTCGAGTATAAGCCTAGTTTTTCAGCCCGCCTTTTTAGGTTGAAACCCCCCCTCGGCTTATACTTGGGTGAGGGTCCTGTCAGCCCCACACCTTCCTGCCAGGACTCTCACCTCTCTGTATATCAACCCAGCTTTCTTTCCTCTCTTCCTCTCTCACGCAGTGTGCACCTTCCTCTCCTCCTCTCTCAGTGCGGCACACACCTTCCTCTCCTCTTCTATTGGTGCCAGTTTTTTCCCACTTGTCCTTAATCATATGCACGGCATTTTCCCCAAAATGTATAGTTAAAATAAACTATGGTGATTTTTGGAAGGATACGTAAGCACATTTACATTGAAGAAGGTTAGAATAATGGTTTAATCAGAGTTGGAGTCTTATCTTAAATTACAGTTTTATGTAAATATTCAAAAACATTTAACCTACTGATGCCTCAATTACTGTAATTTTATTGGTATCTATTTTTATTTTGAAATTTACCAGTAGCTGCTGCATTTCCTCAGCTTATACTCAATAAGTTTTCTTAGTTTTTTTGTGGTAAAATTGGGTGCCTCAGCTTACATTTGGATTGGCTTTTACTCAAGTATATGCGATATGTTGAAATGTGGCTCTTTTAAAGGGAACAATCCCCTTTCTTATATTTTTACTTCATAATAAATACATCCTCTCTGGCTATCAGGACAACCATAGCTTTCACAGGCTTATAGAGGGAAGTAGCAACATCAATAGCGGCATCCTGAGAGTCCTAGTCTCCTCATCCCTCTTTATTGTTTTCCTTTTTTTGTAAAACATTGCTTTTGGGAAAGAAAAATTCTGTTCATGCAGATACAGGCTTTCCACATAAGCAAGACCCTTGGAAAAGAAGGGTTATTACTTACATGGGAAGTCTCCATACATGTCACTTTACACGTGAGAAGGGAGCAGGACTAGATGTTTGTCTGCTCCCATATTCAAGAAAGCCTAGGAACACATGAACACGTCTTCCATGAGAACAAGTTCATAAAACTCTACATCAAAGTCAACCCAAAAATGGAAAAATGTTGTGGAGATAGTAACTTACTCCTGTTGCTATAGTAATCTAGTCAAGATAAAAAAATGACTGAAACCCATTGTATAGAAGAAGCTTGCTCTGGTAGCATAGAATCTCAAGTGATGTCAGAAAAGTTAATTACTGTTCACTGCTTAAGATCCCCGGGTAATATACCAAAGATTATTACACCAAATACTGCAGTAGACTCCAATCCAGTAATAATGAGCAACTTATAAGTATGAAAAATAGCCTTTAAGTTTTCAGTTATTACTATATTTGAAAAATGTTTCACCTGAACAGATATCCATTTATAATTACTTTAAGATATCCCTCATTGCAGTGGTAGATTCAGGAGTATTACTATCTGTAAACAAATAGGTTATTTCTCAATTCATGCTTTATTAAAAATCCAAATTGAGTGATGCTTTGTAGATTTAATTTCTTACAGTCAAAATATTAACACATCTACCTGTAGATACACATATAGAGTTAAAAGTTGCACACTGGCATGCTAATCAAATCATATTTTCCCATGTGTAAGAAAAATAGTACATATTTTGTTTAAAAAGTTAAACAGAGTTAATTTTTTATGCGCAACCAATATACATTCCTAATCAGTTAAAAAAAAACATAATCATATAGAATAGCCACATCAAGATCATCCCAGGCTCAGAGATTTCCTGGCCAAAACCTGAGACATATGGATAGCTCCTGTTGAAGTCATGAGAAATGGCCCCTGATGATGTCATGCCAGTTGGCCATGGGAGGGAGGAAGCTTAGGTATATAAACATACAGACTCCACTGAAGAAGTTTTTGCAAGTTGCAACAATTTGGTTGCAAATTAGAGCAAGCTACAAGGCCAGCTAGAAGAACACTTAAAAAGGGAAACATATACAGACAAATGGCTGGCAGTAATACAATGCAATATTCAAATTTTCTTTGGAGGTCCAAGGTTAAAATAAATGTGTTTATTTATTTATATTCTGCCTTTTTCCCAGCCCTGGTACTCAACATTTTGTACCATGAGTATATGTAAAAGTTAAGATACAACTTAATTACAAATAGATTTAAAAATAAGTTTAAAGCTTACACATTCAAAAACCCTGAAAAATAACCGAGCATACCAGACATTAAGTAGACATTGATGCCTTGTCTGATATCATTAAGTCCTTTGATAGTGCTCCCCAAGCATATATTAAAACAGCACTGTTACCTGGGCTTGCCAAATTGTTTAGTTTATATACAGATGTCTCTGAGTTTTTGTGAACATCTAGAAAGCTTTCCCTAATTAAGGAGAGATTTGTCACACAAAGTCTACTTCCTTCTAAAACAGACAACAGCAGCTAAGTATGATTACTATGCATTTAAAGGCTGCAATCTTGCATCCTTGGGTTCTGATTAATGAGGGGAGAGAGCGCTTTTGTATACAGGAAGTCTTTTTCAAAGCACAGATTGTTCCACTCTTTTTGACTTTCAATATCTATATATCAGTCAGGGGTGTGAATCATGAGGTCCTTGAGATAATATCAGATTGCTGCTCCCAGCGTTTTGACTACTAACTATGCTTGCTGTCCAACAACATCTGGATGGTTGCAGGAGATCAACCCCAATGAAGAAAAATGGCAAAAAGTAAAGAGAGTCGGTTTAACAGAAATTTAAAAAGCATATGCAACACCTTATAATACAAATGAGTTAGAATAGCAGAAAGTAAGCATTTAAAATAGTATTCCTTAAAACGAGAAGCAAATTGTATTTACATTTTGATTCTGTAGTCACTTCTTTTCTCTATGCTCAAGAGACATAAATATTGATCCTAAGCATCAGCGGGAAGTTAAACAAAGATTGACTGACCTGGTTGTGTTGTGGAACTCATTGCTGCTGAAGGAAGATATGAGAAAGGGATATGGGGAGATCAGATCTTGGAAACCGTAGTCTTGATTTCAGTGCTCTTACTAAGCTTGTGCAAGTGCGTGATTTCAATCTATTAAAGAAGAAGAAAAATATTTTAAAATATTACCCTTTTATGTACAATATTTGTGAATGCTCATTATCTTGACAAGGTCCTGATCAACAAACTCCAGTGCACAAAGTGTTGCGTTAAAAGGAATTACCTATATGAAAACTAGATAAACTACCATGAAGCATGTGACCCTAGAAAACAGGGTGGATCTACAGGAAGGCTGTATTCCAGCTCCAGTGTCCCAGTTTGTCCCCTTTACTGCCACATGAAGTTTTAAACAAAACTAAAATTAATTTGCAAAGTTGCATGGGACAGTCACATCAGACACAGTGGGTCATATGACCCAGCAGCTGAAAGGTTTTCTTTTGTTTTTTTCTACTATTTATACATGCATTCACATAATCAAATAGGCTTTCTTTGTTATTCAGCATTCCGAAATGCTAAGGGAAAAGAAATAAATGGTGCAGAATCTCCTAGCACTGTGAAGGTGAGCAGGAGACTGAGACACAAAATTCAGGATACTCTGTCCTGTACACCTACCAACTATCCATCAACCTGGCTCCCCTCCCACAATACCCACCACTTACAAATGTGTGCAGTGAAACCAATCAAGAAGGGAGAGGTGAAATGTTGGTCTACAAATGTGTGCAAATCCAAGAAAGAAAGAAAGAAAGAAAGAAAGAAAGAAAGAAAGAAAGAAAGAAAGAAAGAAAGAAAGAAAGAAAGAAAGAAAGAAGAGGCAACACCATTATCCTTATTGGAAGAAATCATCAAGTTACCTAGATGACCATCGACCAACACTGCCCTCTCTCCCATTGCTCTGATTATATCACAATCCCAATTTGTTAAAACATGGTTAAACCACGTGTTTTAAAAACCCACTTCTTCCCAATATCATTAGGTTTTTTTATTACTTCCCCTTAAAGTCATAAGGCACAAAAAAGTATTTTCATATCAGAAGGAGAGGAATATCATGTGTTCCAACAGGATTGAGATCAGGATAAGGACACCTGTAAAGATTCAGCCAAAGATTGTGAAATTAAAAGTTTGAACAGCCTGTGTATTTTGGAATGTGAATGAGAGATCCTGCCTATATTTACATCTTCCTTACATGGATATATAACAAATGGGAGAAATAATCCAACTCAGGCAAAAAAAAAAAGGGACAGATTCATACAGGAAATTTGTGAATCCCTGAAATTGTCTATGAATTTTAAAAAGCTAGCACAGTTTAGAATAAATAATATGCATCTATTTATAATAAATAATACATATATGCATGAGAATGAATTCAGCTGGGAGATTTGAAGATCAATTTATTTATTCACATCCTTCTTCACAAACTACTCAGGACAGCTAACATGTAAACAAACTACAACATGCAAACACCATTAAAATCACATCGCTATGATCACAAATGTGAATCAAATAAACACACTTATCAAACATCAGTATTTGAGCAAATGTAGTGTTTTCCTACCTCTAAAAGGCTTATGTACACAAAGAGATGAATTTTCCACTGCCACTTAAATGGCAACAGCAAAAGGGACTACTTTCACATAAGTATTTTATGAATTCTTTGTTGTGTTACTAATGCACTTTGGGAAAATGCAGCTAGGAAGATATAATACTCAAATGAGAGACATCAAACTCAAAATTATTCACCTTCAGTATAGAACTATATAAATCTGACATGAGGCATATTTTAAATTATACTGAAATTGAACAAGCATCATATTAAAATAGAATTTTGAAGATATTATCCTGTCAAGTATACATACATCCCAGTTGATCTTGATGTTGGAAAATCTTTGTTCACTGAAAACATCATACAGTTTTTACCTCTTCACAAGATAAAATGGAAACAAAAATGTGTTTTTAGCTGTGTGATAGAACTTCGGCAAGAAACATAACTGTATACCTGAAATTTTATATGTATTTATTATTTTATCATTCCTAAAACTTAACATTAAAAGCAGGCTCTTCAAACTGACAACAGCAAATAGAAAGTAGAGAGGCAAGGTAAACACTAAGTTTAAGAAAAATATTACACCTCAAAAATAAAAAATAGGAAATCCCCTTACTCCTTATATTTTCACAGAAAAGTGAACCTTGAAAAATATTACATTTTTTCTGAACAAAATGTAAAATATATGCTAATAGCAAATATTATTTCAAAGTTAAAATACCTAGCTTTACCAGAATGGTGTAGCCTTTAGTATATTACATTAAAACCTTCTTTGCAGCAACACCAGAGGCACTCCAAGTGGCCAGATACTAGTCAGAGGACATTTAATCAACTACCAAACTCACAAATTTTGTATTTTGTCTGTTTGTTTGCTTTGTTCTGTTAGAAATGTAATATATTTGAGTAGTTCACCTACAACCTACGGATGTGAGAGCTGGACCTTAGGGAAGGCTGAGCGAAGGAAGATCGATGCTTTTGAGCTGTGGTGCTGGAGGAAAGTGCTGAGAGTGCCTTGGACTGCGAGAAGATCCAACCAGTCCATCCTCCAGGAAATAAAGCCTGACTGCTCATTGGAGGGAAGGATAGTAGAGGCAAAGATGAAGTACTTTGGCCACATCATGAGAAGAAAGGAAAGCCTAGAGAAGACAATTATGCTGGGGAAAGTGGAAGGTAAAAGGAAGAGGGGCCGACCAAGGGCGAGATGGATGGATGGCATCCTTGAAGTGACTGGACTGACCTTGAAGGAGCTGGGGGTGGTGACGGCCGACAGGGAGCTCTGGCGTGGGCTGGTCCATGAGGTCACGAAGAGTCGGAGACGACTGAACGAATGAAGAACAACAACCCTGACACGACAAATAAATAAACTGCTGTTAAGAGTTAGCAATGAGGCCTGGTGGCTTCTAATGTCAGAGGGGTAATAAATTTCATCTGACTTCTAATCTGAACTTTAAAAAAATTAAAGCATATTGGACAGCTCCTTGAAGTTCACTATAAAATGACAAGGTATAGTCATCACCCCATTGAGAGGGAAACAATAGTGAGAGTCCTATAATTCCATAAAGACAACTTTATCCTGACTTAAAATTGTAGCAATTGAACACCTCTGGGCTGAAAATGCTACTATAGGCTGCAATCACACAGACACACTTAAGCAAATATAGCATCTTTGAACAATGGGAACTTGCTGCTAATTGTAAGAGAAATAAGCCTGAACAATGTGAAAGCCACCCACTGTATGGCTATCAGCCTACTCCCAGTAGACTTAAATCAAGGAAACAATCCCCTTCAGGGTGAGAAAGGCAGGATATAAATGTGGTAAATAATAATAAATAAATAATGAGAATAACCACCCCTTTACCCCTTTTAATGTTCCTTCAGCAACAGCAAGAAAAATCAGACAATTCCAACTGATGGTCCTCTACAAGGGTCTCCTCCAGGGGCAAACCAAGAATAGGCAACTTGGAATTCCCTGAACAAACTCAGAAGAATTGGCAGATCAAAAGACAACCTGGCAAAATGGCACTACCTAGAAGAATCCTCCTTCTTGTGCAGTTGTGGAGCAGAATAAATAGCTCAGCATCTGTATGCTTGTCCACAATGCCCTGTCTCATGCACAGAGGAAGAACTATTTAAACCTACTGACAATGCCCATTTTTGGCCCATTTTTGGTCTAAAATTATTTAGCTGCATGTGTTCCCTGTATTTTATCAGTTTTATGCTTATTTGTTTATTTATACAATGCTTTTGACACAAAAAATAAATTTTTGAACAAAATAACCCCAAAGTGTACACTTCTAGAGTCCCCTTAATATGCATGCATATTTATTTATTTATTTATTTATTTCCCTCCCTCCCTCCCTCTCTTCTATCATATAAAACCCAAGGCAGTTGGCACCATATTTTAAAAAAAACAAACAGTAAAATTTATATCCAGAGTGAACAGCACGGACGTGCAAAATGAAATACACAGGCCTGGTAAGCCTTGTATAAGCAAAGAGAAACATTTTAATTTTCTAGAAATTATTTGAAAAATGCACCAGTCTCCACTTCTTGCACAATTTTCATTTTAGTTGCCAAATTAATCATCGGCCCTCCACATTTGTGGGGCTTAAAGACAAGGGCTTCGATGAAGCCTTGTGGGCTTGATGAAAGGAGGCAGGGTGCAGTCACCACCACTGTCATTCCTTAAGGCCAACAGTTTGTCTGGCTTGGCTCGGCTGCTATTGGGGGCAGGCCTCCAGCAGAGGAAGACTCTTCCAGTGTTTGGAGCAAGCTTGGAAGTGGTTAATCTGACCTCCTCTTCGAGGAAAGCATCACAAGCTTCTGTGATTATCTATGCAGGCTTGCTGAAATGAGCAGCAACTGGCAGCTCATGATAAAAGGGGCTCGGAAAAGAATAGCTTTTAATATAGCAGATAATGTTGTACCTTTGTATCTTTTCCCTTGATCTTGGCTCTGCTGCCACTGGGTTAGAATTCTGGATTCTGACCTTTGTGCCTGTAATCCTGTTCCAGACCCTGTTGTATCCTAATTCTGTGACTCTGATGTCTTGACTGACTTCCTGGCTTGATTTATTTACTTGGACGTCAGTTTGTATCTGTCACTATCTGGCTTGACTTTGGAACTCTAGCCATTTTGTAGACTTAACTTCTTTATTTTATCAACTCTGATAAGTGAATTCCTGGCATCTAATTATTGGACTGCAACCTTGGCTACTGTTTGTTCTTGCTCTTGGCCCAGCTCTGTAAAATTAGGCTTGTTTGCATTAATTGGACTCTTGATCTTGTGTTCATCATTACTTGGCTGTGTGCTATAATTCTCTTATTCTTGCCAGACCTTGAAAGACTCAAGACTTTAGTTTTTTTATAAGTAAATATGGTCTTGTCTTACCTTGTGTTTGTTAAATAAACCTCAGCCCTGACACCAGGAAAGTCCCAGAACATGACAACAGGCAAAAGATCTGCTGACAGTTTCTTTTGTAAAATTGGAGACAATTGACTTCACTCATCCTCTATTTCTCCACCTTGAGAAACTCACACTATCTCAGGCTTTG